CCCCCCCCATCCCCGCAAACACACACACACACACACTGCCTTTTGTGATCTCTCGAATACACTTACGCACACACGCATACTCACTCACTCTTCAGCATTCACTCTTTTCCTCGTCTTCGCCCTTTACTGTCCAGGAACGAATGACACGATCAAGTGCGATGCCGTCATAATGCTCAAATATGCGTGGGTCGGTGGGTGAAAGAAAGTTGAAGTTCCCCTTTGCAATTAACTCGTCGGGAATTCTGTCTAGCAGGGCAGTGTGGAAGCGAATGTAGTGCACCAGGGAGTAGTATGTGTAGAGCGGCACATCCTCCGGCCGCGGCAGAGGACAAAACTTCATTAAAAATCCTAGCAGCATCAAATCGGCGCCCGCACCATCATGGAGAAGCGCCTCTTCAAAGTTTACCGCCGTCACGTAGTACATATCTTTGATGTAGAAACGTATTTTGGTCAGCGGTGGGCGACCCATGATGTCCTCCGACGTCGCGGCCCAGCTGTCAAACATAGTGAGCAGNATCTCCTCCAGCACCTCGCGGCGGCGGTTAAACTTTTCAATGGGAATGCTGGTAGCGCGCCGGCTCACCATGTGGACGTGCAGCACGTAGAGCCAGTACGTCAGATCCATCTCGGCGTACTGCAGATCGAACAGCGTCCTCCACTCCGGCAGCGATATGTGGTGACACAGGTGACCAGAGATGAACTCCGACACGGCACGCACTTGGCTTCCGAGTGTCATCCACCGAGGTCGTTCCCCTTCGTAGACCGCCATCGATGTAGGGTCGCACACGTCAATGCCCTTGTATCGCTCTTCGTTTTCCGCCACCATTGACTGTAGCAGCTCCTCCGCTACTGTCACGTCGGTGGTGGCGCGCGGCGTCAGAAAGTTTTCGGGTGTTGGCCGGAGGAATTTCTCTTCGCTCACACCAGCAAACTCACTGCCAAGGCTGGCCCACGCGGCAGCCGTCATCCACGACGAACCAACGGCAGCGGGTGCTGTGCCGGGCGGCTTGCTACTACAGAGCCGGAGGATAGTCCTTGCCCACATTACCCCCGCTCACTCTCTACCAGTCTTGATGTGGGACAGATGATGATGATGATGATGATGAGAGACCAGAATATGCAACACGTCGCATTCACACAAACAATTCCATCTTACACACTGGAAAGGAACACACTAACCAAAAAAAAAATGAGGAATGATTTCTCACCACATACACATATATATATATATGATACTGATTCCGATGCCGCAGCTTCAGCAAGCAAGAGAGCCCTTCCTACATGCGCCATCTTTTTCTCTCTCCACCCCTCCCCCCTTTCTTTCAAGTTCACTTGCTCGTTGTATCCACCTGTTTCACTTGATCGCAGAGGCGGCCCTCGAGGCCTCGTAGCGGCCAACCTGCCCCATGATGGCGTCAAATGTGTCCTCCACGTCCTCATCCTCCCAGTCCTCCTCCCACGACTTCACCACCTCCTCCTCAAACTGCCCGCTGATCCGTCGCGCACTAAGCGTGCGGTGAGAACTGCTACGCGGGGCGACACTGCCGCTGGCATTGGCAGTCCCCGGGGCTGCGGCGTTGGCCCCACCCTCCGTGTCGCCGAAGGACTGAAAGTCCGCGAACTTGTCCTCGGACTCCCTGTACCACGCCGACCACACTTCGTCAGCCTTTGGCAACTCCAGCGAGAGTCGCGCAGTTTGCAAAATATCGTTCGGCGTGGGGCCTTTTTTGTCGTTCGCTGCTGCCGCGGACGGCGGTGACGGCGCCGCACGTGTCGCACGTGTATTGCTCATTTTCCCCCGCTTCAACACAAAGAGAGATACGTGAGGGCCACGTGAACTTCGTATGATGTCCGGTCTCTTTCCTTCTTGCTTCCCTCCTCCGTACGCTTCTTGTCGATCTCGAGTTTCTTTTTATAGTCTCACGATTCCCTCTTTTTTTTTTTCTCACTTCTCTATCTTGCTTCTTTTTCGTCGTATTTGCAACCCAGACAAAAACATGAGGGAAGAAAGCAGCATGGTGATTCTGAAGGAAAGCGCGAAGAGCGAAGAAATACAGGATACAGGAAGAAGGCATACCACGCCCGCAGAGCACACGCAAACAAACTGAGCAACAAGAGAAAAAGAAAGATAGAAAATATTTTTTGTTGTTGATATTGATAAGAATTCTGTCAGCAACGAGAGTAACACCCCACCCCCTTTGCCCAAGGTGTTTGCTTAATGGGGCATCACGATGAGCGTTGCGTTCACCCTGACTATCCCCCCCCCCNCCCCCCTCCCTCCCTCCCACAACAGTGCTGTCAACTCCCAGCTTGTGGTACCGCCTCACCATTACTGCCGCCATTGCCCCCACCATCATTGTCACAAGCTTCACCAGTCCCAATAAAGGCTGAGATCGGGCAGCCGGTACCCTCCCCAAGGGCATTCAACGAGGTGCCATAAAAACTCATAAGGTGGTTTTCAACGGCGAAGCCTTTACCTTTTATTGGACGGAATAGACGTTCCATATATGTCGGCTTGCAAATGCAGTTGCCATGACGGTCAATGTCCACCTCAATGCCGACGTGGCAGCCGTACACACCAATCAGCGAGACCGCATCACTCTCGTTAACAACACGGAAGGTACGCGGGACAGCCTTGTTGTACGTCTTTCGAAAGGCGCTATTACCGAGCGGTGGCTGCCCAAACGTGTAAACGGTCACCTCCGCGAGTGGATACTCCTTTCGACGGAGCATATTGCGTACACTGTACGCGCAGAGCGATGCGAGAGCGCCGCCAAGGCTGTGGCCAGTGCAAAAAATACGATACACAGTCGTAGGCTTGGCCGCCAAAACACCCCAGAGTTTCCGCTGAATGTGTTCGCGGTGTGCGTTCCAAATGGAAAGGAATCCCACATGCACAGTCGGCTGCCACCCACAGCGCAGCTTCCGAAACGACTCTGGTTCATCTTCAACCATTTCGTCCCACACCACACGACGGACGCGAAGATCTTGCCAGGCGTTGCTCATGTTCATCGTGCCGCGGAAGGCGATAACAATTCTCGATGCCTTTTCTTCGTGCCCTGACTCTTGTGCATCAAAGAGCGATATTATGACCTGCACGTCCATCGCCTCAAGCACTGCAATAAGAACGTAGCCATACTGCTCAACATTGATGGGCGGCGGGGCGTTGGAGTCCTCCGTGCCCATCGTTTCCCCGGCACCATCACCATCAATGCCCTCCCCATCCGACCCCACCGGCATCGCCACTGTGGAAGCAGCTGGCAACTCCACGATACTATCGAATGAAAGTGAAGATGGCGAAGCGGAGCAGCAGCAGCAGCAGCAGCAGCAGCAGAGACGAAATACCGAAGGCTGCAAAGGCCGTCGCTCCATTCTACCCTCCGGTCGGTACGAGGCTCCATACGCTTCCCAAGATAGGTTGAAGCAGTCGATGGCCGTTTCGAGATTGAAGAAAGGGAGGTATTCGATATCCTGAAACGGTCGTTGGGCAGCATCGAGAATGGCAGTTTCCAACTGCTCGAACGCGTAAACTGGCCGAGTTATTAAGTTCCGCTCCGCACTCCTCATGATAGAGCCCAGCATCTCTTGTGCACGCCCCAACGTACGCATCAAACGGTCCGATTCCCTTTCCGTCTCACCAGCCATTTCCCTGTCGTTGCGCCGTAGTGGGTTGTCAGGGTTAATCCACGCGCCTATTGCTGATCCTCCCTCCACGCTAGGACGAGCAGCACCATCACCATCACCACCACCACCATTGGGCTGCTGAGTGAGGTAGTACGAACGGAGGAGGTCTGGGTAGTGCATTGATGTCTGCAGATTTGTCCGGTGAGGCAATACTTGGTGTGGAGTGTTGGTACCGCTCTGCCATGTATCGGAGGGAGCTCCCGTGAACGCACTCGTATTGCGATTTGTAGGTATCTCCATAGAGAACGAGCGGCTGTTGGGAGAGCGGCACCCCGACTCCCCTGTCAGACGACGTGCGTGGGCAGGGAGAAACCATGTGGAGGTCTTGTCCATGTTAAGAAATTCATGAGCGTCTCCCATTGTAGGAGCAGAAGAAAGAAAGGTGTGCCCATATGGTGAACGAAAGTCGGCGAACGTTTGGGCGCGTTCTACTGTTTCACTCTCTGCGTTGGTGTTCTGTGTTGTGCCCTGTACCTCCTGCGACATGGCGCGCAGATGGACTGGTGGTGCAGCACCGCGATATTTCCTCTTGATCCTCGCCATGTATTGGCGGTGACGGAATTCACACTGATTCCAGTTAAACAACGTTTCTTCTGCTTCACTATGGAATATGTACATGCTTCCACCGTGACGGGCAATCCAGCGGTACCACGTGTCGGGCCAAACCATATGTTTCCAACGCTCATCACGTGGGTGAATCGGCACCAAATCACTTCGATTGCGTGTTGTGTAAATGAGTGTCATAATATTTGTAAGGAACGTTTCCACCATGATAGCCGGGAGCTGGATTAATGGTTGTGGTGCCACCATTCCGGGGATCGTATTGTAGCGTGTGAAGAACATGACAATCAGAAATAGGTGAAATATGAACGCCATCCCAAAAACAAGGATAAAAACGCGGCACGCAATCTGTTGTGGGCGTGAGAACAGATACGATTTCGCCCCAAGATTCCGATGAAGGTGGACAAGGAACCCACAGCAAATGAGCGCCCCAAGGACGAGCAGGGCAGCGATGCTGTAATACATAGGTCGCGACCACGGTTTCCACCCATAAAATTCAAGTATGTTGTGCCACACTGTTTCGATAAAATCCAGCAGAATGATTACAACAATAAAAAGCACTGCTACTATCTTTGTCCACATTGGCGGGTCGCAGATACTACTCCTTTGGCACAAGTATTCTTTAATGCCAATGAAGCTCCACAGCTTGTGTTTTTGAGTTTCTGGGTTGAGTGGCGACGCCCACCGCATCGAGGCAGTGATAACGGAGAACATGAAGCCTATCGTCATCGCCATATACCATGTTGGGAAGTGAAACTCAAGGAAGTCAAGCACGAACGATGGCCGCTGCGACGTGGAGGTTAGAATGCTCAAGGGATTGAGATACCAGAAGAGCGAGAGCTGCAACGCCACCACCCAGCTCTGCTCGTATAGAGTGCAGGTATATTTTTTATACACGATAAATCGCACAAGATGAAGGAACGAAATCACCAGAAACACGTAACGCCAAACAAATGTTCCCAACACATACTTGGGCTTTTGAAATAGGATCCCGATGGAAGAGCTGTTGGCCCCGCGTGCGAGACTCGCTGGCAAACCACTTAGTGAAACCGACGCCTTTCCTCCACCCGCGGCAATTAGCACGGCCTCCGCCTTTAGCTCCGCAAATTCACAGCGTGATGATGACCGTCTGCAAGTAATGGGGAACGGCAACTTGGTGCCATTCTGGGGATCCGCCTTGCCGAAGACATACGCCTCCAGTTCATACTTGCGTATATCCTCCTCCGTCATGTCCCAGTCATCTGGAGACGCCAGACTAAAGACAACGTTGACAAACCTCACCATTGAATCGCTGAAGAAGTTCTCTTCGTATGGTCTTCCTTCCCAGTGAACGGTGTACAACGCAGTAGTGTCGTTCTCCACTTCAGTCCTCGCGCAAGGACTATCCCAGAGATCATAATGACGCATATCGCTCACATCCTCACCGCATACGTTTACCACACCCCATGCAACAAAATCAATACTCTCCACAATCACGGCTGCAATTAAAACGGCGTACCACATGAATAACATCAGCCGAACAACGAAAGGGGAGAGAACTTCTATCTGCAGCTCCACATACTCAGCCGAAGTACCACGGGAGTTCGGAAGCTGCAGTGGTTCCCCATCCGTACCGTCAGCTGCTGACTGTACACCGGTGTACAATTGAAGGTTCCGCCGTGGTGCTCGCGGGATGGGACGTCTCGCCATTCTTTCCCTATTTTGATGCTCATGCTCCGCAGCAGTGGAGGCTTGCTGCGCTTCCCTCCTCCTCCTCGATGGAGACCTCGATACTCGCTCCGGCAACGAGCTACAACTGTGTCTTCTCTCCTCCAAGTGCGTAGCGCTGCGGCGAGGCGTTACAATAGGTGTGAAGGCAGCTAGGGACGCTATATATCGATGCTGGTCCTGTTCCTGCTGCTGTTGTTGTGGCAGTCTTCGCTCCTTCATTTCTTTCCTCGGTTCCGGTGCAGCTTGGGGTACAAAAGAAACGATTGCCGCGCTTTCGGTGCACCCGAAAAACGGGGGCACGTTCTCAGCACGGCTCACTCCGCAATAAGTAGACGCGAAAAGAAGAAACATCAAAAAAAAAGTGTGCGGTGAAGAGCCGGCGAAAAAGATGGTGCAATGAATCTCGGAGCAGTCCGCATTTATTTCTGTTCCGCAGGCGGATCAAGGACGTACATGTTGCACACGAATGAAAAAGAAAATCAAGAAAAAAAAGTCAATTCGCTCGACGAAGACCAGAGACAGGCGCAGAGAGCAGAGCGAGACACACACACACACACAGTGCCCCAAGTGGAAATCCGTGCAACTGAGCCCACAGATGCAACAGAAAGGCAGAAGAAATTGGACGGCTGTTGATGGAATCGAACGAGAGAGCGAAAGAGAGTAAAACGAAGAGGAATAGAGAGCGAGAAAGAGAGAAAGAGGGAGTGTGAGAAAGATAAGTAAGCAGAGAGGCGTCCAGAGAGCTATGCCCGTGGTGTTGGTAGCGGTGACGGCAGCTCCGCCTCTGGCGGCATGGCCACGTCCTGCAAATACGGCTCTAGACACCGCACTTTGCAGGCCCCATCGCTGTTCCGCTGCGCCACAGCATTGAGGGACTTTGCGTAGGCGCCAAGTGTGTGATTCCTCATCGCGAAGCCCTTGCCCTTCGTGGGGCGGAACATGCGCTCGATAAACATCGGCTTGCAAATGTAGTTGCCATGACGGTCAATGTCCACCTCAATGCCGACGTGGCAGCCGTACACACCAATCAGAGAGACCGCATCACTCTCGTTAACAACACGGAAGGTACGCGGGACGGCCTTGTTGTACGTCTTCCGACTGGAAAGCCCTGTTGCCGAGCGGTGGCTGCCCAAACGTGTAAACGGTCACCTCCGCGAGTGGGTACCGCACGGTGCGCAGCATACGCCGCACGCTATACGCGCAGAGCGATGCGAGAGCGCCGCCAAGACTGTGGCCGGTGCAGAATATGCTGTACACCACGTCTGAGCCTGCAGCCAGGTACTCTCGCAGCGTGTGCAACACCCCTTTCTTGAGGGAAATCCAGATGTTCAGGAACCCCGTGTGCACCTTGGCACTCTGCGCGATGCCCCAGTGGGTTGGGCTTTCGACCTCCTTCCACGTACGCTGCCGAAAGCGGAGGTCCTCGCGTGCGTTGGACAAATTGTCGGTGCCGCGAAACGCAATCACGAGGCGCGGTATCTTGTGTCGGTGGCACGGGAGCGTTGTGTCCATCACCGTGATGACAACTTGCACATCGCGACCCTCAAACACTGCCACCTGCTTGTAGCCGTACTGCTCCGTCCTCATTGTGTTGCGAGACGGTAATGGTAGTGACGGTGGTGATGACGGCACTTTTTCCGGCACCGTTTCCGCTGCTGTTGCTGCTTCTGCTTCTGCGGCCGTGGGCTCGCCATCTTCAGTCACCGCAACGTTGTCCAAGCCGTCATTGCAGCTGACACCACCCAACTGAAAACAGCGCGGCATGTAGCGGCGCCACATAAAGGGAAACGTGGCACCAGTAAACACTGGTGAGGCCTTTCGTGTGTCATTCACCGTTTCCGCGTCTTCATTGCCAAAGGCCGTCACATATGCTTCCCAGGACAAGTTTAGGCAGTCAATGGCGGTCTCGAGGTTGAAGAAAGGCATACGCCCGCGGCCTCGCAGAAACAGCGACTGCAGCGGGTCGACGAGGGCTTCTTCGAGACGGTCCATCAGGGCAGCCGGGCGCTCCGTCAGGTGCCGCTCTGCCTTTTGTAGAATGGTCCATACACTTCCTCTCTTCTTGGATTCATGTGAAGTATGTGGCACCGCCACTGGGCTGTCGGAGTCAAAAACGTCATCATCACCATCCTCATCCTCGTGGCTGTCGTAGCTGTCAGACCGCGTGTCTTCCTCATCTGTCTCAGGCTCATCTGTAAGGTGGTTAGAACCACCTCCACCCTCAACTTGGCTCCAATCCTCACCTCCACGTTTTGGGGAACCAAAAGCAACACCAAACGTGTTTTCATGGGGCTCTCTCACCCTGCTCTTGCTGTCGTTGACATTTGCCTCTACGACGGCAACAGAATCGCGCAGTCTCCGACGTCTCGATAGGGACGGCATTTGCCGTTTGTTCTGTAGCCAGTTGAAATGCCGCTCCTGCTGCTCATTGTAAAATATGTACAGGATACCACCATGCAAATTGAGCCAGCGGTACCACTCGCTCGACCACACAACTCGGCGCCAATGAGGGTTATCGGGGCGTATAGGCACCCGACGCGAGGCAACAGTTGTGGTGTATACAAATGTGATGTGATTGACGAAAAAAGTCGACACCATCACCGGAGAAAGCTGTGTGAACGGCTGGTAGGCGGCAATACCAATAATCTGCGGGTAGAGCAAGGCGATGAGAACGACCTGCACCACAAAGTATACCAATGCAGTAGTGAAGACAAAAATGAATACTCGGCACGACAGCTGTTGCGGCCGTGTCTCCAAGTACGGACGTTTTCCGAGATTGCGGTGGAGCCATACTAGCAGCACGCAGCACAATACAATAAATAGCAGCAGAAGACTATAGAACGTGTAGAGAATGTACAGACATGAGAAGCTAGTGCACGCCGTGTCTGTTCCCCAGTCCCAACCGCCTATATACGCCCGTGCAACGTCAAGACAGATGATACCTACAAAGAAATTTGTCATCGCCATCTTCGCCCAGAATGGTATTCGATGAAGCGTTGCTTCAATAGGGCGAACCCCATCTGCGGCCACAACGAAGTTCTCATGTGTGGACACTCTTGGTGTGAAGCAAGGCTGCTCCTGCTTCTGTGCCTGTTGCTGTAAATGTAGATGAGACTCTTGTGCCGGTGCGAGCCGAGAATCAAGAAGCCCGTCCTCCGTGCGGTGTGGATGTGAGACCAAAATCGATGGATGAACCGCATCTTCGCCAGACGCTTTTTGTGGTTCCATCGCCTCCGACCTCTCCGATCTTCCGTTGTAGGTCCAATCGATAGAGGCCGTTATGAGCGCAAAGATGAAGCAACTAAACAATGCAGCGAAGTAGTTAGGCATACGGAACTCAAAAAAACGGTACACCGCCGCACCGCGAACCTCATAAATGCCAGCGGCAAAGAAGGGGTCGAGGTACAGATAGAGGCCGAGGTGCAGCAGCATCACCCAGTACTGCTCGTACAACGTCTTTGAGTACCGTTTGCGGTAAACGAACCGGATGAGGTGCAGAAATGAGAAGAGCAGAAAACCGTACCGCCACACAATCGTTCCAATGGTGTAGGCAGACCTCTGAAAGACGATGCCCACAGCTGACAAAGCAGACACATTTCCAAGCTCTTCTTCGACTCCAAATATGGTCAGTGTAATTCGCGAACCATTGTTGGCCACCACAACATCTTGTGGGAGTACCACTGAAGAGCAGCGCCGTTCCGTACGAGAGCAAAGCGTGGTGGTGTTGTAAAGACTTGCAGACGTCGGAGGCAGAAAGTGATCGTCGCTACTATCGTCAATACTTCTGCTGCTTGAAAAAGAATTACTTCCGTCTTGGGGTAGGGGTGACAACGGGGACTGCTCCAGAGCAATCATAAGCGGGTACCGCTTCCACTGCAGTCCCTCCGGCAGATTTTCCTGCGGCGAGGCCATGCTCAAGACGACACGCACAAAGCGGTTAAGTTTGACATCCAAAAGGCTACCGCGGCCGCCCCCTACCCAGCGTAGATTGTGCAGGTGTTTGGGCAAGGTACCATTTCCAAGTACACCACGACTTGCCTTGTTTCCCTCACCCTCCACAGGAATACCATGCAAAACGTCTATGGGAACAACATGATGCCTATCGCCCACAGCATACTCGGACCATATGATATCATAAGATAAATAAGAATAACTCCTAACACAAGGGCTACTCCACGCGTCAAGATGATGGAGACTCTCCTCTGTAGACCCGCAGATATTTGTCATTTTCCACTGCAACGACAAAAAGGATTGAAGAATAAGCGCCAAGATAAGCATGGCATACCACGAGTACAAAAACAAACGCGTGCAACCCGTCGAAAGAGTCTCAATTTGCAACTCCGCTACTAAGCGCTTGTGCGGCCTGGCATGGTCAGAAACGTCCGAACGAAGGCGGCGGCTGCTCCCGCCATTCCGCAGACCCCCCCGTGCGGAATACGGCGGTGCTTGCGACACAGCATCCACCTGCCGTTGTTGTTGTTGCTGCTGCTCTGCGGTATCCGCCGCATGAGGTAAAAGCGGTTCGGTGAGCGTGTTCCTGGCGCAATTCCCATCTTCTCTCATCCTTGTGCTTCACAGGCAATAATGATCAAAATAATAAATAGCGAAAAGGCGAGAAATAAAATGCCCCGTCAAATGGCGGTAGTCCAATAATAATAATAATAAAACCACCGCACCGTAAGGCGGCATGGAACCAAATACACTCCATCGTGGCTTTTCATCTCAAAAATATATACTAGGGAGCATTCTCTTCGTTTACTTCCGAATGGACATACCCATGTTTTTTTTTTCCTCTCATTCTCTTTTCCCTCGTTGCGCACTTACCAACACAACCTCTCCTCCCCACGCCCAAGGTAGATGAGAGATGAAAGTGTGCTTTCCCGATTTCGCCCCACACTTCTCCATATCAGGTGCTGTTGAACATGTCCACGTACTGCGCCCGTGGGAGACTCTTGCCGCCCACCAGCGTCGGTCCACCAGTGGCACCAACGGGCGGGCGCAGCATCGATGGCGTCGACACGCCAGCTGCAGCGGGACCCTTTGCCGCCATGGACGATGGCTTTGGCGGCCCTGCCTTAACTAAATCCGCCGCCTTTTTCTCCTCTTCCGTCTCCTCGAATAGGTACCGACCTGTTACGGGGTCAAACTTTGGGGGTTTTTCGGTATCGATGATCATCGTCTTCGCTTCGTCCTTCTTTGTGTCTTGGCTGCGGCCACGACGAAACAGGAAACTGGTGATGGCCTCCAGTGATCGAGAGCGACGCGCTGGCTGCGGTTGCTGCTGTTTTGATTCCGCTGCGCGGCCCCGCGTGTGCAGATGTCCCGACGACGAATTGTGTGAAGTTGTAGAAGACTCTTGCTTGTCCTCCACAGCTTTTGTAGCATCATTGATGTCATGTTCACTGTTCGACATTGGTGAAGGGAACGCGGGATTGGGTACGGCAGGCAGCTGCTTTGGCTGCGCCAGACCAGGTGGTGGAGAAAGATTGGGGCCCTTCAGAGAAGATGCCTCACTTACTGCGCGCTGCGGAAGCTTCGGTGGGCCGGGCAACGGTGGCGCACCCATCTTCGGTGGGCCGGGCATCGGTGGCGCACCCATCTTCGGTGGGCCGGGCATCGGTGGCGCACCCGTCTGCGGCGTCCACATGGACTGCTTTGACGGCTGCACGTGTGTTGGGTGTGTTGTCCGGTCGTCGCCAGGCGGTACGTGTGACGCCCCTATTACAGATGTTAATGACGGCACCGGCGGTGTTCGCTGATTCACCGCTAGGCTCGGCGACGGCTGCACCACGTGTGACAATGGGATCTGCTTCAATCCATCGCACGTGACGGGGGCAGTGGACCCGTATCCAATGAGACGATTCAGTGTGAACTGAGGAACTGTTGCTGACGCCGGCGGCACGACCCGACGAAGTGCAGCAATGAGAGGCATCGCCTCCTCATGTAGTCCCACCTCTTGCAGCCACAACAGCTGCATGTACCGGAAAGCCGCCCTGTATCTATCTGGGCACACAGGCAGCCCGCTTACCACGGGCTGTTTGTTACACTCCTCCCCCAATGATATGTGCGTACGACTCTCCAGGTGGCACCGAATGCAATGGAGGACATCTGTCAGATGTGTCGACTTGGGCGATACAAAAGCGATGCGGGAACGCTGCGGGTGGTAGCGCCCACCCAGAATCCCCAATCGCGCACGAATAAGATCCATAACGTGCTGCTGTTGTGGCTGGAGCGGGCGACCTGGTGGGGGTGTCCCCATAGGGCTGAGGTGCGCCAACAAAAAGCAGCAATGCGCTTCGTCAATCATCCCTTCGTTCGCTAAAGCGTCACCAAGTTGGATGAGTCCCTCGGCGCTCTTCTTAGTGAAATTCGACAAAAGGATGGCTGCATGTTGAAGCCACAATATCGGAAGTGGGCAGCTGTTGTTCTTTTTTGGGGGATCACTAGGCAGCGTAGGCGGCGGCGCAAAGGGTGGAAGCGGCATTTCGTTGAAAATACAGTAGGCGTGTGCCAACGGAGAGAGGGGATCCAATTCCTGTTGCACCACTGCACGAATAACGTTCATGTAATGTTCCTTCTTGGGGCACATCATTGCTATGATGATAGCGTGCGAATAGAGACGGTACGTCAGTGCCGTCTCCACCGCTTTTTCGCGCTCTCCCGTACACAACAGCTGTTGGACTTTGTACAGTCCCTTAGCAGAATTCTGCGCCGGCTCTGAGCCCAGAGGGTAGTGGGAGTCCTTATATGCGGTTTGCACTTCCTCGGCCGCCTCGGATACCATCTTAATAAGAGCCTTGTGTCCCTCAGTACGCCACTCAGGCAGCGGATCACGCATCATAAAGGCCAAAATCTCCTGCAACAGTGGAGACACGCCTGGGAGTCGCCGCACAATATCCTCAAGGCTCGTTAGTGACACGTCACTTTCATTGCCAGAAACAAGAGGAGAGGCACTTATAACCTGCAACGTTTTCACGTGTTCTTCAGCACTTTTGGCAGACGTCACGCTCTTAAAACGCCCAGAGAGCATGTCTGCAAGGTGATACGACCTCAAGATTGGGGAAGCGTCTTGCCGAGGCATGTTGGAGATCGTGACGACGTGACCACTGGATGTGAACAAGGCGAAACAAGGCATTCTAGTGGTATGCTGTTTCTGCTGCTGTTGTGGTTGCTCTTTTGTCGATGCCAACTGTGGCGGCTGCGGCACCGCAGTGCCAGCACCGAGAACAGCGTCAGTCTCTTCCTTGAAATCGGCATTCGGCTCATCCGTTGCCACTCTTGGCAGTGGTGGTCGCGGCGACGGTAGTGGTGACGGTGGTATTGAGAATGTGTTGTCCGCCGCACCCAAAAATGCCGGCGCCTCTGCTGTGCCTTTACACAACCTATCCTTAACTTGTTCCTCTTGCGACACGTCAGGCTTGCCCTCTGGGACAGGCCCTTCACCAAACGCCGGAGTATTCGGGGTGACCTCCGTTTCCGCCTCCTTTCCTGCCTGTGTGTCCGCTGTGGGATTTGGGCTGGACATGACCGATTCTGCAGTAGCCATCGGAGTTGTCACGTCACCCCCAAAGTGGACTTCCTGAGATCCCTGACGAGACGGGGGGAATGGTGCCGGAGAATCTTCTGCCAACTGAGTCAATGGCACGACTCGCTGCAGAGAGCTGTACTGCTGCAAGTTCATACCACCATTTCGTGGTGTGTGAAGCTCCGTGCGTGACAACGGAGATGGCGCACTCAATGGCAATCTCATCGTAACTCCTTCCATACTCTTAGGCAGCGACGCAAATGCCGGTGAAGGCAGTGGATGGTGTAGCTGTTGGCTTTGGTGCTGCTGGGATGGTGGCGGTGGTGGTGGCATTAGTTGTTTTTGCTCGCCAAGCATGAACTTTTCGTGGCTGGGGCCAATATCAGCTCGGCGAAACTCCTCTGGCAGAAGAGTACCCCTTCGTGGCGGCGGTGGCCAGCTTGCATCTTTCACATCCTTTAAAACCTCTGCTGGCTCGTCAGCTTCCACGGGCAAGAGCGACGCGGAAGCCTCCAAGGACTCTGAATCCGCAAACGGCTCCATCGTTGCACCGAAGCGGGGCATTGATGCCCCACAAGTCAACGCATTCCCAAGCTCACTGTGCTGTATTGGAAGTCGCCGCTCATCCACAAAGCTGCTCTGGCAGGATGTCTCTGTGGCATTCGCCGCAAAAGATTCTGAAGGAAGCAGTGTTTCAGACACTCCAACGTCCCGAGTGTGAGACAGAGACACCGGTGGCGCCTGCGTCTGGAGAAGCCGCGGCAGTGCAGCATGGCTTGCGGAGGGGACATGAATGGGGGCGTTGTTGGTGACATGTATATTGATATCGTCGTGATTGATGTTGTGCTTCTCAGCATGCGCCGAGGTCACGGAAAGAATAGACGCATCGCACCTTCGTTCCTTCGGCGTTGGTGACCGAGGCGCCGCGTGTGGCACTGGGAAACACTGATTTTGCTGCCGCTGCTGCTCGTCAGTGTTCGTGCCTGTGCTGCCTGAGCGGGGGTGCGAACCAATATGCGAGCCGCCGTTGGCGTGGGGCGTTGAGCGCAATCCATGGAGTGGGCTGTGCGAGCAGTTTCTCCCAGTGGATGAGCGTTGCCGCGCCTGTGAGCCTGGCGATGGCTTCAAGAATTCGGGGGGTTCCTTTTTTAGCAGATGACCGAAGTATGACGACCTCCTGGTGCTGGTAATACTATGGTTCGCGTCTGTAGTTGAGGGGTTTGAACTTATACTAGTCACCGAAGGACCTCGGCGCGTCGTGGCGGTAGCGGTGGCACGGGGACAGGAAAAGCCTGTCACGGCACCTGCAGAAGAAGACGCGGCTGGCCTCGGCGTACCCTGGGACACAGGCGCCGCCCCAGCACGCTCCACTGTTCCTTGTGAAACCAGCAGTGGCCTCTGTTTCGGGGTCAAGCCTAGTGGATCACGTATTTGTTGCTGCTGGTGCTGTTCTTCTTGCTGCTCCTGTTTCGGTTGCGGTGATGCGGCTGGAACGCTCTGCGAATGCTCGACACCGAATCCTCGAGTACCCATCGTTGCTAAGGCTGCAGTGGAGCACTGCTTCTGCTGCTGCTGCTGCGTCGTCGTCGTTGTCGATGGTGCGGCAAACGTCTGTCGTGTCCCCATCGCACTGATAGAGCTGCCACTAACGCTAACGTTACTGCTTCTACCGCCTCCCATACTGGTAAAGGGGTTGTGCGCCAACACCTTTGCCTTGCCCTCCGACGGCAGCGCGGCGGTGTGGATCGGATGCGGCGGCTTCCCATCCTCCAAAAGGGAGTCAAACGGGTCAGCCTCGCCTAAATACGCCATTGCGCAGTAATGGAGTCAATCACGTACAGCTGGGTGGCTATGCAAGGGGGGAAGAAATGAAAAGAGTACACGTGTGGAGGCAAAGAGCCATGTGTAAGTGTGCGGATGTGTACACATCCTCTTACTTCACCAGAGAGGAGTGCGTGAGCAATGCTGCACGTTGCCTGCTCCCACGCCGGTATCGGGAGTGGTCAAGAAAGATCAAGGACTGCATCAAAAGGAAGCACATCAACGAAGCAACGTGCTTCCCTGGGGACACCATGATTGCTCACACACTCACCTTGCAACGCTTCCCAAAAAGAAAAGAACAAACAGTCAAACAATATCACCTCAGTCATCCAGCAACGAAGCCAACGCGGTTCCCTTTCGTCTCTTAACCACATTAGCGGTAGTGATAGAAGTAGTCGTGGAGCTTTGGGTTGTTGGTACCAGTCCATCACCGTTCGTCGATGCCACAACGCACGCGTCATCGTCGTTGTCGCCATCGCCGTCGGAGTCTTCCATAAAGGCGTTATGTCGTTTCTTTTCGTGAGCGCTATACTTCGCCGTGATGGTTGCAGCCACCTTGGCCTCCTTCACCGCACTTTCCTTCGACTGCTGCTGCTGCTGCTGTTCCGCCTCATCCTGCCAGCGACGAACCTCTGCCTCAAAACGCTGGTACGCCGCCTCATCGTCGGAGACCAGCATGTCCACAGGGTCCTTCTGACTCTCATCCTCACCTTCGCGTTGCTTTGCCTTTCTTGCATGAATAATCTGCAGCAGTCCATCCCGTGTCTGTTCTTCCTCCATCCCTGCCTTAGATTCCACAAGCTCTTCGATCAAACGCTCCCGCTCCTGCACTTGCCGCATTGTTTCATTCTCTCGCTCTAGTGCGTCCAATGTTCCTTTCTCCGCATCTTCAGTAGCCTGTTTCGCCCGGATTGCCTCATTGATTTGATTAGTCCCGTAAAAATCTCCCTCGCCGCGCTTGCAGTTTCGGCTGCAGTGATACCCACCCGTCAACTTCGCCGTTTCGTAGTCGGTTGTCAGATAGATGTGGTCCTTGCAGAAGATGCAGCGGAATTCCAGCTCCCAGATACGTATACCCATGTACTTCTCTTCCGTCGGCCGGCGGTTGACGTAACCATGTGTGCCTCGTGCGATGCGGCGATTACAGTGGAGGCAAATGACATTAAATGGCATGGCAAAGGTCTGTCGTATAACCCCTTTCCCACTTGACGCCTCCACCCCCTGCTGCCGCTGCCGCTTCCGCTCGCGCTGCTGCTCCTCCTCGAGCTTGCGGTAGTCGGTGTCCGGCGCAAGGTAGTAGCCGGAGCTGTACGTCGCGTTGATCTTCGCCATGTGGGTCTACCTTCGTCAGTCCGCAACACAATCAACGCACTGGTGCAAGCACGAAAATAGGATGCACAAAGGAAAAAAAGTGAAAAAGTCTCTTCATATCAGCATCGTCATCATCATCATCCATCACTGGGTCACGGATATATATATATATATATATATATAAGCCGAGACCAACGATCAGGCCCAAAGTAAAACACCAGCTCCATACTGCCCCCTTAACCTCGCATTTCTTAAGCAGCTGCCAGAAAACAGCATCCACTCACTCCGGCACCCCCGTGTATTCCTCAAGATAAGAAGGATTGTACAGCAGCACACAATCCACCATGCAGTGACTCAAACTGCCGTGCATCATCACCCGCATCTTCCACCTCCACCGCACGCCAATTGGACAGTGCGTCGATGACTGGTCCTGTCCCTTCACCCCAAAGCCACGATGCCCACCTCGCTGATGGGCCACCAACACCACCATCCGCACCCACAACAGCAGCATGATCATGCTTCCCCCGAAACAGCACCACATCCGCCGTGGGAAGTCCAAGCCACCGCTCCTCAAATTGCAGCAATGACTTTACGACGCGCGTCAGTGCCTCCTGAGAGTCTGATGTTCCTATTCCTCGTCGCTCGCAGCTCTTCACAAACTCCGCCAGCGCACACGACATGGGGCGACAGACAACTACGTTGATGCCGCGCTGTAGACGATAGCGGAGAACAGTGAGGTTGTGGTGACGGTTCAGCGCATAGAGGGCACCCTGGAGCTGCGGGTCCTCTTCGCGGATCGTCTGGAGCTCAGGATTCTTCAGCAGACTATCACACAATGATGCATAAAGGCTCAACTCCTCCTCATCTTCAGAAGCCGCGTCTGTATCGGCCAAATCGCAGCCGCTAGCTCCTACCAGTTGCACTGGCATGTTCCACTCGCGGCGCATGTGCCCGCATAACAGGCGGCACTGCACCGCCACCAGTGTGGCACCTTCACCTTCCACTGCAATCACCTTTCCTGCAGCTGCAGGGAAGGTGAAGAAAGAATTCACGGCATCCACGGCGGACGTGCAGCAGAGTCTCGGAGCGGTGAAATACAAGGCATTGACGAGCCAATCCGCCTCCATCCCTTCTGCACTCTCCCCCAAATCGAGGAGGGACAGTACTGGTATCTTCCGATAGTACAGCGCATAGGCTACCACACCAGTGCTTCGGTTCTTGGAGTCGGTCACGAAGCACTCCAGGCGATGCATGATAGGGACGTCATTTTTCACATAGGACCACACATCCTCCTTCTCCTTTTCCCAGAAATGCAGGAACGCTAAGGGATTCGCAGCGTCTGCGTCAGGAATTGTGTGAATCGTGACACTTTCGCACAAGCTGGTGGCAACGGTAGAGAGGTGATGCAGCAGCTGTGCGTCCCGAACATCCGCATACACAGTCAACTGCTTTATCGCGTTCATCGTATTGTCCGTAGCAACCTTCTTCTTGCTCAATTTCGCTTCGCGCGTATCCCACACAAAGAAAGGAAGATGAATTAATGAAAGAGTTGCATCAATGTAGAGGTGGTCAATATGTATGCTGCCTGCAATTGTGCGAATCCATCGCACCTACACTCAAAAACAAACAAAACGTAAAAAAAAAGAATTCGTTTGGGCATTCAATAACTATACTCACTCGCCTGTATGTAATGGTCTTATACATTTCTCAGATGCCCATACAGTCGACGCATCACACATTTATCGTTGAAGTAGCGTCTGAGCATTTCCATCCCTCCAGCCTAACCTCCTCATACCTCCAATTTGCGTTCTTTACAGTATATCGTTTTTTTTTTGTTCTTGTGACTCAACCACCCCAATCTTGCAAGATTTTTTCATGCAGAGAAGCGGCACGTTCGTCTGATTTTATGATGGCCTCTCCGGCCGAGACAGCCTCCCAGCCGGCGTAAGCCACCATGCCGCCAACCCATGACCAACCCATGTACAAAGCAACTGAGGTCGTCATCCATGAGGGGCAAAGCATGCCGAACATCTGCTGCAGCATACCTCCACCACTTTGTAGGTCAGACACCCGCATCGGCAACGAAAAAACGGTCCAAAGCAGTGAGAAGAAGACCAGCACACTCAACACCAAGCGCAGCTTTAAAACAACCACCCTCAGACGCGATTCTTCGTGTGCTTCAAGAAGAGCAAAGCGAGTGGCAAGCCAACGCTCACGACGGTGATTGGCGCCTGTTCGGCGGGAATGTTTAACCATGCGTTCCAAGTCTCCCATGGGTGCCGCCTCACCATTGATATTGGCATTGTCAGCAGCATTCTCATCCTCATCGCTGAAGTTGTACTTTTCCCGTTCCATCACAAGCTCAGCCACAGAGAGCGGCTTTCGGCGGCAGAGCCTCTGCCCATTCAGTAAGTACGAGGGATCATCCGCGAGGAGACTGCAAATGTGCTCCTGTGGAATGCGATCGCCAAAGAACACCCATGTGAGCACCACCGTGAGCACAGCACATGGGAGGAGGCGGTGCACGAAGAAGTTCCAGTATCGCTCCACCATCATCTCGTGTACGGCGAGGGTGAGGCGGAGGCCTTTGCGCAGCCAGTGGTACTCCTGGCACCGCCACTGGCTCTCAGGCGACTGCCGCTCCACCAGCCGTTCCTGCAGCACATCACGAAGCCGGCGCAGGTTCTCCAGTTGCGCCTCACCTACGGGGTCATCTTCTTTCTTTGTTGCCCTGTGGCCTCGTCTCCCAGCACCACCAACAGGAGCAGTATTCGCGCGCGCCTCCTTCTTCGGCGGCGGTTTCGGTTTTTTCTTGTTCTCAGTGCCCGGGCCGCTTCCCGCAGGTGCACTTGGATCTTTTTTCGGCGAATTCAGCAGCGTTTCAAGGAATGCAACGTACGAGTCGGGGCACGCCATGCCGTGCATCACACACGCCGTGTGCACGCCGAGGTTGTGCGGCGGTGCCGGTAGTGGGTCGACACCGGCGGCTGCCAACTTCTCGCGGAGCTGCGACACGACCTCGTCGTTCTTTCGTGCATCATCGCCGTGGACGCCGACGCCGCACAGCAAAAGTAGCGATAGGCATACCGCCAGTGAACTGCGCATTTTGTTAATTAAGTCTACCGATGTTGTCTGCGCTCTTTTTTTTTTTTCGTTTGGTTTATTGTCTCCTATTCGATTTGAGTCTATCTTCTCGGTTCCCCCCTTTTTTTTATATATATTTCCTTTCCGTTACTTGTGGTTGACTTTATGCTTGAATGAGTCTCCGTCGCCCCAGCAACCAAGCAGTACACGACAACGAAGAAGAGGACAGCGATCTATCTCACCCGCCCAGCAGCTGCAGCAGAAGGTAGCACATACAACACTTTACCACCACATAGCGTCGCACACAGGCAAGCCACCCATTCGAGTACGAAAAATGGGAGCGGCAGAGCGACCCTTCGGGGTCACTCCTCATCATTAGACCTACTCGGAGAAGGTAAGCAAGCACAATCGCAATCCACGAGCGCCCAGTCCCTTGTCACAACTACAACTATGGGGCCACTAAAGCAAAACAGCTCACAAGCAGTGGACAGCAATATTCTTCGCAGGCAACTCATCATAACAACAGCAACCCGTTGCCATTAAAAATGCAAAAAAAAAAACGAAACAGCATCGCTTCTCTAAGCCGGTAGCACGATGCTCACTGCTGTTTTCCTTCGTCAATTCTTCCATCGCCCACTTCCTTCGAGGCCTCCGTTGGTAGAAGCGCGTTGGGACCTCCGGTATCGCCAGCACCGCATACATACCAAGACAGCCACAATAAGGACTAGTGGGAGTCCAAGGACCCATCCAGCGTCTATTGAGCTCGGTAGCTCATCAGTATCTATGGCAGCGAGCTGAACAACTTCCTGCAGTGGAGGACGAGTTTGACCATCGCCGTCACCACAGCGAGAGACCAACGTCACGGCCCGTCGCCGAATCGGCATCCGTATTGCATCCGGTGACATTTCTGCTCCAAGTCGTCTCATCCCGCCGATTGGCATGTGATAGTCAAAGGCTCGCCCGAATGTAAGGCCGTGGGCATGCAGCTCCTTTTCATACACCTCCAGGAAACCCCAGGAAGTAAAAGGAGACTGCACAATACCTCCAAACGTGATAAAATGAATGGTAAAGCTTCCATTTCGGTGCGGGACCAGGAGCGTCTTGTACTCCCAACGATGTGTGTGGCCCGTTACAACAGCCGCTACACACGGATACTGAGAGAGCAACTGTACAACTTCAACATCATTCCATAGATTCAGCACTTGTTTGTAAGGATACATGGGGAAGTGGCAGAGCACCAGTGTCACTAGATTTTGTGACGTAGCGTACTCAAGCTGAGCGCGGAGCCACCGCATCTGTTCTTCGCCGATGCCGCCGTTGAAATCTCGCATACTTTTTCGACTGCGATACCGACGCGCCATGGCCTCCGCCTCCGCCCTTCTAACGGTGCCAGCTGTTGTCGCGTACAGAGACATATCTGTGCCGTCAAGCACGATAAGAAGAAACGCGCTGCCTTCCCCCGCTCGGAGACTGTAGTAGCGGGCCGGCATCCCCAGCAAGTGGGGCACTTGGCCCCGCTGTTCTTCGCTCAGCAATTGAAAGTCGTGATTCCCCAGCACCTGGAAGAAGGGAAATCGCAGCTCTTTCAGTCGTGAGTTAATCTCCACTATGTTCTTCTTGATATTGTCATTGACGGTGTCGCCAAGGTGCATGACAAGGTCCAGGTGACTACGGTTAGCATTCATCTCACTCACTGCATGCTTAAGTTTATTGAGGCTGAGACGAAAATGACGGCGAGATGCCTCTTCTTGGTCAGTGTACTGAATGTCACTGAGGACACCAATGCTTAGCAGTGGGCGGCGGTCGTAGACTGGAAGCACGGGATACAAGGTGCGGTTTTCATAGGCATGAGGAGGCAGCACTTCACGCGCATCACACACAAGCAACACCAGCAGCAGCAAACACCACGTGGCGCAGAATTTCATGAAGTCCAACAGCATTTGACCGGGCTGCTTGCCTGGTAATGTGCAACAAGAGCGAGTAGAAAAGAAAAACGGCGATTTCTGCGCGCGTCCTCACCGGGGACGACAAGATCGCATAGCTGGTCCTTCAAGACGGTTTCAGGTGCGTACCTCATCCCCAGGAAATGCCTTCAAACCACTGGCAAATGGAGAAGACATATATATATATATATATATATATAATGAGCGAGAAAGAAAGAGAGAAAGCAAAGAACCAGTCCAACGGACCTAGTTCCACAACTTCTGATTCCGAGAAAGATCGACTCACCTTCACCGGTAATGCACAGAAGCTTCCCCTTTTTTCCTTTTTTTTGTTTTTCACACCAACCTCCACACACAGCTACGCCAGAAAAGCAGTAAGAGGGGCTTTTCACCCACCACCCCCACACACACTCGCATGAGAGTTCAGCGCGAGGATGTCACAAGCAAAGGCACCACCACTCCACACATGGCGAAAAAGGGCGAAAGTACCGGAATAGCAAACGGTGCAGGTGGGTTTGGCTTCGCTTCCACCGAGAGTATGATGTGTGCTCCAAAGACTACTGACGTGAATGCCGCAACGGAGAACCATGAAGACGCGATCCATGTCGATCTCAAGAGACTGGCCATGACGGTTTGTGTGGCGCCGAACCCTAAAAAATATGCCCAGCGTTTCTCAAAGTATTTCAATGTACCCAATAGCGGCATACGGGTGGGCTGACGCGTCTCGTGGTCCCACACATACTGTGAAGAGAAGCGGTAATCAAATACGCAGAAAGCGTACAGACAGCTGTTCAACATGAACGCCATTACAGGCCCTATTGGTGCGGGAACAATTGTTTCAACAATTACAGCCAGAAATGCACACAGTGCGGTCACAATAGCCTTAAATATGATCTCACTGAGGAAAACCACGGCGGTTTTGAACGAGGGCGGCACGTCGGCACCGTTCGGCTTAGTTAGAGACGTTGTGTCATCGTACCCGCCCCCCTCTGCTGGCGCCCTGTTCGTGCGGTGTTTTTTTGAGACACAAGCTTCGGTGTAGAGAGCGCTGTACCAGCGTACGCCAAGGGCCTGTGTGAGTGCGTACATAGGGAGTACCCACATCACATCGAACACCTTAAACCAAACCATGCGCAGGAGCCCCAAGCCGTTCCACACTGCCCCGCCACTGGCAGCTGATGCACCGCCCCACAATACTCTCCAACCATACGCCCAGATGGAGGAGAAGAAGGCAGCGACCCAGAGACTCGAAAAGAAGACGACGTTCACAATCAGACACGACCTGAATATTCGACGGAGGTTGGCGTTGGTGCGCAGATAACCATACAATGTCACAACATTCAAACTTTGAAGCATACCAAAGGCAAATCCACGGAAGATCACTATTAGGACACTGATGAGACGTTCAACTAGCTCTGTACCATTTCGCCCAGACATGGGGATTGCTGGACAAGAGAGGCAGCCCTGGTCCTTCTCTTGTCCGTTACTCTTGGAATAGTTGCCTGACGTCGTCGTTTTCATAGCCTCTACCCTTCTGAAGCCAATGAGGGAGAGAAAACAGCAGAGTCAGAAAACATTACGCAAGATGTTCATTATTTTTTTTTGTTTTTGCTCTCAGCCGGCAAAGCCACTCAGTTGGGGATTTTGCATTCAGAAATATTTCTCCATCAAATCAACTTTCCACTTACGAAAGGGCAACTTTAGAGCCGCACGCCTTCAGAGACCCCGCCGCTTGGCGAGAACTATATGGAGGTGGGTGGAGCGGTAAAGCTAATACACTTTCCTTGAAGACACTCGAAAGCTTCCGATTAGACAGAACAAGAATGGGGCAAACCCCCATTTCCCCACACATTAGTTAGACAGCATTTGGACACACATTATTTCCACAAGCTCTCAGTCCTCTGCAGAAACAAACCTTATGTGTGTATGTGTGTGTATGTGTATGTGCGTTTGTGTCGGTGTGGGGCTGCTCAACAAAAGAAAAAACAACAACAAAGAAGAGCGAGACATAGTAGTATAGAGTGTTGAGCAGTAAAAGAAAGGAGTGCAATATGACATGCACGCACACACAGGGGATACAAAAGCCGCAGCATCATGAACAGTTGTATCGCCTTTCCGTCCCTTACCCAGAGAGAGGGGCGGCGAACGTCTGAAGGCGTGAGATATGCGTGAAGTGTATCTGTGAGAGGCACTCATAACCCTCCACTTCAAGGAGAAGAGAGGAGAACTCAAGTATTTGACACGATCAACAAAGCAAAACATAACGAAGGAAGCCGGCTCCTCCTTTCATCCGCACACGCGCGCACCCATTTACACAGAGACAGGGGGGGGGATGGAGGCGAGAAGAGTCGTCACCTACATCGCTGAAGGGCGTGCTTGGCAATGAACGCTTTCACATGCGCCGCAGAACACAATGGATTCGCCACGTACGGATCCGGAGACGGCTCCAGGCGCAGCGTTTCAGAGAGAGATGTGCGCCCGGAGCCACACTCTACAAGGGGCTCCCACATCATAGCGCCGGCCGTCCGCACCTCTGCAGCAGGCGCTGTGCCCCCCGGTGGGAGAGAACCTGGCGAGCACGAGGTTGCCGTTGCGGCACTGCATGATGTTTGCAGTGGCATGAATGACGCCAGGACAGATGACGCTTCAAAGTCAAACTTGCGCCGCAGCACGGCTGCGCGTCGGTCAGGCCACTGCAGACACGCCAGAAACGGTTCTCCTTCCACCGGTGGCAAAAGGTGCTCATTTTCTTCCAGTACTTCAGACAGGACGTATTCCTGAAGCATGGCCTTTTCCTCTTTCAGTGCGTCATCATCATCATCAGAGCTGTCATCACTATTGCTCCTGTTTGTTATTCTTTGTTTACTATCATCGCCAGCATTTTTGTCTTTATGCTCCTCGATGATTACATCATAAATACACACAGGCAGAAAAAGTTCACGCGCATCAAACCCCAATTTTGTGGCCCCCACGATTGCTGCTGCTCCTGTCGCCACGGGAGCATCTATATCAGATGCAGCTTCCTGGTCATACTCTCCCGGATGTTGTCCACTTTCACTTCGGTTGGCACCGCCAGCAATCCACTCTGTCGCTGACATCTCACAGTCCACAAGGAGTTTGGCGAGCCGCTCTATTTCCTGTGACCACCAGGCCCCGGACTCATGCAGTGCCGCGAGGCACGCCTGGTGAAGTTTCGCCGCAACCCTCCCTGTCCCGCAAAGAACAAACAAGGAACCACCCTCCGCTATGATCCTTTTCACAAGACTGCTGCAGTTGCCCCGCGACGAGATCTCGCTGACGACAGGACGCGAGAACGTCAGTTCCGGCGCACCAGCCCATTCCTCGCCCTTCCATGGGAATTTCTTCATATTACTGCCACGGAGAATAGGTTCTTCTCCTCGCGCCAACACAACATTCACAGTGGTGTCCGAGGACGGCTTCAGCTGGGAAACTTCACTGGAAGACCATGACAGATCATTTTTACGGCCAGTCTCCACGACAACAAGACGCGGAAATACATGAACGTCAAAAGCTTCAAGACATGCCTCAACTAGTGCATTTTGGCTAGGCCCGAAAACTGATGAAATACAGAGCCACGACGACGGGGCATCGCTAAGCAAAGAACAGAGTTGTTCCCTCTCCGAGTCGCAGCTGATGCAAACAACCTGGAAGCGTGTAAGACGCGGTGCTTGATGATTTTTTTCTTCCTCATCTTCTTGATGCTGTTCGTAGGTTGGAAACTCATGTGGAGCCTTCAATGATGATAACCTTTCCGGGAGCGTCAATGGGCTAGACATGTCGAACCCCTTCCTCTTTGGTGAACTATGTGGTGTTGTCTTCGGGGATGAGCACTTTGACGAGAAACCCAGTGGCTCGCTTTCCAACACGCTGGTGATGTCATGGTGATCACCAAAGGCCCCCATCTGATAAGAAAGCAGACCCTGTGACGCAGAGGAGAAAAATCCACCGAAACCAAACATGTTGAGCGCCTTGCTGCTCATTCCCCAGGTGCCCGCCTTCTCGTCGTCGTCGTCGTCGTCACCGTCACTGTCACTGCCGTCATTGCCTTCATTGACCGTGAGCCACAAGCGACGCAGCCGCGGCAAGAAGCGGCCCGAGGCGGGGTGCCACCCGCTGCCAAAGTACAAAGCCAGGTGGGTCGCCCCTTCCAGAGACGCGTTCCATTTATCATCCGCCTCATCCTCCTTCCTCTCCTCATCTGCCTCCGTCTCGGGCTGAGCGATGGCCGCCTCATCATCAAGGAGGTCCCCCACACGACGTGCCTCCTGAACGACGCGTCTGAGAAGCGGCAAAAACGGAAAGGTGTTCCCCCTTCTCCCCACAACGGCGCCTCCAGCGATCTCAGCCTCCTCCGCGACCCACGGAAAGCGCAAATGAAACTCTGCAGCGTGGCGCTCAGCCTTCGCCCCGGCTATCGATACTGGGAGCGAAAGCAGCTGGTCTCCCACCTTCTTAGTGAATTCTCTCTCCCGTTCGATGTGGTCCAACGTGCGGCTTGTCAGTAATTTCCCAAACGGATCGAAAAGCAGTACCAACGGCCATGAGGTTACACTAAAGGTTTGGACGACCTGCCTGTACGCTGCTGCACTTTCCAAAGAGAACCAACCAGCGAAAAATGGACTACTATTCACCACGGTATCAGACACGGGTTCTGTACCAAGTGACGACTCAATAAAGACTGAACCAGCCCCCACAACCTTCGTCGGAGAGAGAGAAGCTGCATCCTTCCCATCGTCGGAGCCGCTGCTCTTGCGACCATCAGTTGATGCTTCGGCTGGTGCAGTCGCCGCAGCTGTGGCAACGGCCGGTTGTTCATCAGATGGTTGAGCCGACGGCGAGAGGTTATCTGTATGGTTAGGTTGGCGTACTTCAAAAATGGCAACGGGGCACACCGTATTCCCTTCTTGAGAGGAAGCCGCCTCTAGTTGTCGTATCAATGATCCACAAAATGTGTATAGAAGCGACTTGATGCGGGTTTGCACCCTACTATTACCAGCGGTTGTGGCATCCTCATTCTGCATGGGACGGGTCGCCGTAAAAGCCACGCTTGTCTGTGGCGTTTTCGCGGCAGTAGATGTGCCGCATGTTGCCGGAGGGGATTGAGAGAGACTGCTGTGTCCCGTGCTCAGCGGAGGGGAGGGGAGCACAGGAGCTGTCGTAGGTTTTTGAGCATCAATGCCACTCCCTGTGGGGTCGTGCAGATACAACAGCACGTACTTCCCCTGTAGGTACGTGGCGGGGACGTACTCCACCTCCTGGGCCGTGTCATCCTCCATGTCGCCATTGTGGCCCTCTTTTGCATGCCGAGCCCTTGTATTTCCCATGCAACTTCCCCTGGCGTTGCACTTCTCAAGGCGAAGCGATCCCAAGAGCTGATGCATCATTGAGTTGTTCCGTAACGATATCTCCTATACTAATAACTAAGGGTGGCGTTCAAAGCAACACTTCCAAGAGACCGGGAAACATCCCATTGAAGGAGAAAACAAACGAACGACACTTTAACGAAAAGGGAAACAAAAAATTAAACAGTAAACAAAGGATTTTTTTTAAAGCCTGCAGACACACACCCACACACACCCACACACACAGACACACATGAATGTATAATTATACCTGTGCACTTCTCCCACCATGGAACCGAATGAATGTCACGTCAGACGTCCACTCATGCCGTCCTGCCCCTCCCCAGGTTCGGCACGCAGAGACCGTTCTCCTCTCATTTTCTCCTTCCCAAATCCTCACTGTACATGAACAAGAAACAAGGTAAGCAAAGATGTACATCGTAGTGTATGCCCCTCAACTCTCAACACAAATAAAAGTGCACGCACAAGCACACACGAAGACGCGCTGGGGACTCATTATTTTTTTTTTTCTTTTTGCATTGCACCCACATTTTTTTTGTTCGTCACTGTCGGGGGAAGCGAGATACCACAAACGCAAACTTCTCAAATGTCAACTGCCCGTCTGTCGCAAGGGCCTCCACTTCGTCCCGGAACTCGGCCTCCGCCGTCTGGCTCACCCCAAACCCACGGTCGAGGTCCTTGATAGCCGACATGAGCGGCTCCACGCCAATCACGCCAGTGCCTGCAGCGTCCAATGTCTCAAACCACGTCCACAAGTCAGATTCCTCAATCGGCATGCCGGTAAGGTTCAGCACTGAGGGGGTTGTGTACGCCTTCTCAGGCATAATGTTGGGCTCGTCGTCACGCGCCAGGCGAAGCGCCTGGTAGCCGCGGCTGCGGAACAGCAGAGGAAGCTGCTGCGCTTCCTTCTCCTTTTCCTGAGGCGGCGGTGCGACTTCATCGGCATCCGCACCTTCCGCGGCAGATAACTGCTGTGAATGGGTATCCGAGCTGTCGTCGCAGACCTCCGCCCGGAACCGGCAGTTTCCCTTCTGCGGCACCGACGCGGTACCTTCAGCGGACCCCTCCGCCGGCACACCCAGCAGCGGCGTCCCCGTCAGCAGCGGCTTCGCCAGCACCGCCAGTTCCGCCTCCGCTGGGGACGGTGCGCACAACGAACGCGGCACGTTTCGCGTTTGCGGGTCGGCCAGTGCAACGTAGCTGCGGTCGCGGCTCCTCACGTCCAGTGCCGGACCGGTGAGGGAACGGCTTACCAGTGCGCCCTGTTTTTCTTCTTTTGGCAGAGTTACGCCGAGCTCCTGGGCGGCAGCCGCCTGCTCCAGCGGAGTCAATGTGCGAAAGGAAGTCAGCATCCGAAGGACACGCTCCTTTGACTCATCCTCCAGCAGGTTGAACAGGCGCTTCGTACCAAAAGCCGCGGGGCCGGGAGGCACACTTCCTCTTGCGTCTGAGGATGATGGTGCTGCTGCTACTGCTGCTGCTGCTGCTGGTACTGCCATTTCTGTTGTTTCCGCTTATCGGTCCACTATAAATACTGAAAACAAGAAAAACAAAATACATGGAAGCCCAAGAGGAGATTGATACATCGTACGTCACTGCACTCGCTGCCCAGCCGCATGAACCTCTTCTTTCCGTGCACTACACACAGAAAACAGGTGCTCATCCCCTTCCTTGTTGTGATGCTTTTTGGCCTATCATTCTTCTCTTAATTTTCCTTTTTTTTTGCCTCGCTTTCAGTATGATCCACGTTCCCTGTTTGTTTGTTTCTCTCGCAAACATTTTCCGAATTGCGAAGCAACAAAACTTTGAGGATCAAAAATATATATAAAGCGATGGAAGAATGTTGATATCCTTCGCTTTCGCGGTGGCACACACAACGACAGAATCTCTGTTCATTACATTCCTCTCATATCATCGTGTATTGCATTTTCACCCATATTCTTTTGTCCTTCCTTCATGACATCCCTCGTTCTAGTTGACCCTCTCTCTTTCCCTTGTGCTGTTGCGAGCATGGCGGAGCGCAGTCAGAGTGTCACCATCGCAACTCCTGCGGCTGCTGCTGCAGCTGCTCAGTCGGCCCACGGGAAGTTGGTGCCCTCCGGGTCGCGCAAGATCCGTTCGCGCGCCTTCGTGCCGATCAACGCGCCGGTGTCGGCGTTGACGGCGATGAGCGTCGGAATGGACTCCACGCCGAACTTCCTGCCGAGTTCCTCTGCCTCTGCGCGGTTGGCGAACGGCAGCGAAAGCCACGGCATCTTCGCGAAGTAAGTCGCGAAGCCGTCTTCTTCCTCGTCCCATGAGACAAGGATGACTTCAAAGTTCTTCGACGCATGGTACTTATCATAGAACTCAAGAAGTACCGGCGTGAAGCCGCGGCATGGCGGGCACCACGAGGCGGAAAAGTAAAAAAATACTGTCTTTCCGGCGAGAGAGCTCAGGGCGACGTCGCCGGACTTGGACAAGAGCTTAACGCCGCTGGGAAGGAACCTTGCCATGCCAGACATCCTGCCGTTTGTCTTGTCCCTTTTGTGTGTTTGGGTATACTTTGGATTTAGTCTTGCTTCGATCAACTCTGCAGTGGTGTTCACGAATCGAAGAGAGCACAGAGACAGGGAGTATTGGGTTCTGTACGGGTTCGCATTTGTCTTTTATTCAGTTGAGCTGGCGTGTAACCTCCAGTCTGTTTTGCTGCAGAGGCACATATGCGTATACACTGGCTAAACCGTTTGCCTTCCTTGTCAGTATTGCACTCTTTGAGTTGCACCTCTACGCTGAGAGAGGAGCAAGAGGCATGTGATGGGTGCACAGCATGTACGCCCCCCCCCC